CATTGGGAAAGCAGCTACCATGTTCTCTAGACTCACAAAGAGAGTTTGGCTCAATAAGAAGCTGACAACACATACCAAGATCCAGGTCTATAGAGCCTGTGTCCTGAGTATTGCAGTGAATCCTGGACCCTTCATGCATGGCAGGACAGGAAGCTGAACACGTTCCATATGTGTTGTCTCCAACACATTTTTGGCATCACCTAGCAGGATAAAGTTACAAATAGACTAGTCCTAGATTGAGCTGGAATTTTCAGCATGTATACATTACTGAAACAGTGACGTCTACATTGGCTTGGGCATGTCGTGAGAATGGCTGATGGTCAGATTCCAAAGGATCTCCTGTATGGAGAATTAGTGCAGGGAAATCGCCCCAGAGGGAGACCACAGCTGCAATACAAGGACATCTGCAAGCGGGATCTGAAGGCCTTAGGAATAGACCTCAACAGATGGGAAATCTTGACATCTGAGCATTCAGCCTGGAGACAGGCGGTGCATCACGGCCTCTCCCAATTTGAAGAGACCAAAGAAGCAGTCCCCGAAGCAGCAAAATCAGGGAGCTGGACAGGGGACAGATTGTATTTGTCTTCAGTGTGGAAGGGATTGTCACTCTCGAATTGGCCTTTTCAGCCACACTAGATGCTGTTCCAAGTCCTCATACAGAGTACATTACCATAGTCTCTCGAGACTGAAGAATGCCTAAGAAGAATGAGTGAATACCCTGTTTCCCTGAAAATAAGACCTAACCTGAAAATAAGCCCTAGCATGATTTTTCAGGATGCTCGTAATAGAAGCCCTACCCAAAAATAAGCCCCAGTTAAGTGAAATCCTGCTCTCTACCATTGTGCAGCAACCAGATGACATGACTGTATTTGAATAAATATAGATTGTTGTACATGAAAAAAATAAAACATCCCCTGAAAATAAGCCCTAATGTGTTTTTGGTGCAAAAATTAATATAAGACCCTGTCTTATTTTCGGGGAAACACGGTACCCGCATGCATAAGTAAATCATAAAGAAACACACAGGTATACTGACAGAAGAAGGAGGTATATGAATGCAAATGTCAAGCAACAAGAGAGCCCAGAAATTGTTTCTTTTTTGGTAATTCTGCCTACCAATCTGCCCACCCAGTCCTATTCCAGTTTCCTGCTTGAGAAAAATCCAGCAGTATCGCTAGCTGTGGCTAAATTTCAACTAGTAACAATAAAAGTTAGGAGGCAAATAGTCGGCAGTGGTAGAAGGTTTCTGGAGATGGCAGTGTGGCTGTTATCAATGTAAATACAGTATTCTTTTATCTTTGCTACAAAGATTCTGTATAGGAAAGTTTCAGTGTGTATGATTGTTTACATTTGATATGATCAGTTGACTGTAATCTATGTTTTGACTGGTGATTAGAAACACAATACTATATAAGGTTGTTTCTGTTCTTTTATGTTTATCACATAAACACATGATCAGTTCAAAACAGTAAAAGACAAATCAAAGTAAATAATTAAATGATCTGGTCACCGTCAGTGTGCCTCAGTTCTAGGGCAACTGCTAAGTTTTATATACTGTATTAGTTTTATTTAGTTTTATTTATATGCGGCATTTCTCCCAACAAGGAACCCAAAGCGGCTCACAACATTAAAATTCACACAATAAAAAGACAATAAGATAGATATTAAAAGGTACGTGTAAAGCATAATTAACCTTATACTGAAAAACCCAGGGTGACTTCTTTCTATAATGAAATAGCCACCACTCATTTATGTTGAGCAGAAGTTTAATTCTGTTGCAAATCTGCATATGAATTTTAACCTAGCAGCTTTAGGTGAGGGGTCCCCCTTTGAAACAATGGGGGGGGCACAGTGGTGAAATATGACAGCTTTCCTTCATAGTATGCTAGGTAATTGTCTTCATTCTCATCAGAGCAGGTAAACTGGTCATAGAGGAGACAGCTGACAGCTAGTAGGAAACATCCTTTTATCAAATGCTGGATTTTGCTCAGGAACTGACTTGAGACAAAGCTACAGTTGCAGCAATTTGCCCTCTAATCTGTGGCAATTAGAGGGCAAAGTCATAACAAGGCATACTTCCTGTATCTATACAGTAGTACTAGATGTTTCGGATTCTGTGAGAGTGACTATTGCTTAGAAGAAGGAAGCTGAAAGTCCTTCAACCCCAGCTCAATGTAGCTTAGGAAAAGGCAGTTTTAGTTCTTCCACAGACTGCTAAATCTAATGGAAAATGCGGGAGCAGTGCTACCCCTGTCCCACGAGGTGCTTAAGCTGGTGCAGTATAGTTGCTCCCACAAAATCTCACCACATTACTGCACAGGCTTAAGGGCCTCGTGTGACAGGGGTAGCACTGCTCCCACCTTTTCCATTAGATCTGTATTTCATGGGATCAAAAGCATGCAGTAACAGATGGGGTGTGTGTATGTGTAAAGTGATTGTGTATGCAATAGTTCAGTACTCTGGTCACTGAGATGTGTAAATGTTAACAACCAGCACATAAGGATTAGAAGGAGACAGCGCATTGGCCAAAACTACTGGTATTTTTGTGGAGTAAGTATTTGTGGTTTGAAACTTGCAAAGAAGTCATGCTCCCTCTTTGTCTTCACTAATTGGCATCTCTACCAGGGTCAGACCAAGATATTTTGCTTCCTGACACATGGAAGTAAATAGCACCCCTCAAAGTTATGGTTCATAACATCCAAGCTGGCTAAGCATTTTTTTCGAATTTATCAGAAAATCCCCCTTTTGCTGGCAGTGGACACATTATGATTCTAACAAACCAAATTCTAACAATTGGCAACCTTTTCAGGACGCAAATAAAAATTAGCTGCTGTCTCACTTAACTGCTGGATAGCTCAGAGATGTAGGCATCTGGCTGAGGAGCCAGAGGCTGAGAGTTCAATTCCCCACACGTGCCTCCTTGATTGGGATGGGACTTGATGATCATTCTATAGGGTCCCTTACAGCGCTGCAGTCCCAAGATCAATGGCGGAACTGGCCCGACCGTAAGCCCATACTGTTGCTTATGCTGAACTGATTTGGTTGTATAGGGTTGGCACTCTGTTGCTCAGCTGAATATTGTGAATATAAAAACTAGCCTAAAATGTTTGAAGAGAAGCTACATTTCTCCAGACATGTTCTCTCACATCTCTTTTGAAAAAGAGACCCAGGGAACATTTTGAATTTATACAGTGTGTGCATACAGCGTACCCTTGCACATCTGTTTTTACATCCATATGTAGAGGGAATCGTTCACATCATTGCACACATCTCTCTTATCTCTCCACACACCTTCTAACATCACTTCTAATGCTGTGCAACCTTGGAAATTGACTGGACTCCAGTATTCTTAACCCAAATAAGCCACCTTGAGTCCCACCCACCCAGTCAGTCAGTCAGTCAATCAATCAAACTAGCAAGCGATCAAATCATGTCAGCAGCTAGAAGCCACCACTCTGTCTGGAGGGGGGGGGAATCTACACAGCATTCTCCCACAGCGGGAATATTATTTTCCTTCACTCCTAATTCATTCTTCCACCAGTGTCTGAGAAAGGTAGTACTAATTTCCAGTCTTTAAAAAGTCAACCAGTTAATATGCTGGTATGTTTTCCTTCAAAAATGCTTTAAACTCAATTATACCTCTGGTATCTGATTCACCAATACAGCAATGGAAGGAAAAAATCTTTTATAATTAGAAACATTCCCTTGGAGGCAGGATATAATTCAGATCATGTAGATGATAAACATTTATTCAAAAGGCTTTTTTCCTCCCAACGCGCAACCCCCCCATCAAATAAGAAAAGGAAAGGAAAAAGGACACTGGGTAGGAAGGATATTCTTGCTGTTGATCAAAACAATGTCTACTTAGAGGTTTTGTTTCTTGGGGGTGAGTGGTGGTGGTGGGGATGTAAAAAAATCTCCATCTCAGCCAAGCTTGCTGTTAGGATAAGTTTAACTGTTCACTTCAGACGCTGCATTTTCTCTGAATCATTTAGAAATGTTGAGGTGGGGCGAGGAGAGAGAAATCTCAAGACACAAAATACTTGAAGCAAGAGGTTTTCATACACAGGAGGACCTCTCTTTCATTTCTCTTCCTCTCTCAGAGAGAGAGAGGGAAGGAGGGAGCAAGGGAGGGAAGGAGGGAGGGACGGAGGAGGAAGAGAGGGAGGAGGAGGGGAGGAGAAAGGAAAAGTGAGCTCACGTTCTCACATTGGTAAAGAGGCTGGTCTTGCAATGCCTTTGAATATTTTACTTTTTGCCAGTTTCCCCTCAGAGTCATACAAACACACATGCTGAGCTGAAGTGAACCATAGCAATGGGCTGCACTGGAAGATCTGAAATCTGATCACACACCATCTCTCTCCCTGATTACCTCTGTCACTTACCTCTGTCTGTCTATATAGACAGACACACATAGACAGAAAGGGGGGGCAAGATCCCCATCCCCATCAACAGAACACCTTGTCTCTTCTTGCTGGACAGGGACACGGACACACACATATCGCACACCACACCACACACGCGCGCGCACAGAGAGAGAGAGAGAGAGACTCACAAATCTCTTTCTCTCCTGGCTTCCCCTGGAAGATTTTTGCTGGCTGTTTTTCATGGAGAAAGTCCAAGGAGAAATGGAGATTGAGAGATGGGAAAGAAGCGAAGAGATGTCAGATGCTGAGAAAAAGGTGATTCAGGAGACATGGAGCAGAGTGTATGCGAACTGCGAGGACGTTGGGGTCTCCGTACTGATCAGGTATTTAAAATGGCACACCAGAAGCCAACATTTAATATTGATCAAGGGTTGGGTGGCAGAAACTGTTTTTATTTCAGTGTATTGATTTTGTTTGCAAATGGTTTCACTGCATTTTGATTTCAGAACGCAACAGAAGGAAAGACAGGGGGAATACCTCTTGTATTGTAGTTAGTCAGAATCAATATTTCAGCCAGAAAAGGTAATCTTATTCTGTGTGTTATGAAGCGGAGGGTTTGGAAGCAAGAAATCACTGTATGGTATTCTGCTCAGTGGTTCCCATGTAGACCTTTGGTGATGGATTTATATATAAACCAGATTCCTGTGTGAAATAACGCAACTTATGAGCCAAGATAAATCCCAAACAGGGCTGCCGAAGCTTGTCGGTACCATCTGCTCATCAGCTGGGTTGCAGTGTCAGTAGAAAATGTAATGTTGAAGTTGTCTCCTGGGGCTAGCATGAATGTTGCCAGCCCGAGGAATGGAGTGAGGCAAACGCTGACAGGTAAATGGACACTGCATGCACGGTGGCTTTATGATATTGTGGATGTCGTGGTGAAATTGCTTCATGGCAAGGGGTAGTGTCATAGCAATCTATCAGAAAGGCAGGGGAAACAGCAGTGTGCTTATGGACAGTATGCTCATCTGATTGATCTTTTAAAAATATGTTTAGATGTGGCCAAGCAAGTAAAACAAAAGGGCAGGAAGTCAATATCTACCATTTAACCCTGATGTGCAATTCTTATGAACATGATCTCCAAACCATTAAGTGGTCATAGCCTACCTTATTCTCTGTACTTAACTGTGCACTGCTCCTTTAACTGCATTTTTTTTAAATTGTGGCCTTCTCCCTGCTCAAAGGTCCCTGAGGGTTATGGTGATATCTGACCTTGTTTAGTGATTCTGAAACTCCTGAGGATTCTCTTGGGCATGACAAAAATGCAAGGGGCTGGTCTCAGTTTGATCTTTTACAAAGGTCAGTGCAGAGGTGAAGAAAATTGGACCTCAGTTGAGGGTCAGAGATGGGAGTGAAAAGAGCAAGCCATAAGACCTGATAAAAGGCAAGTTCCTTGGATCTGATTTTAAAACTCCCGGGTAGCAGTCTGTTTCTTCAGTGGATCCATATAGCAGGTTGAGGGGAGGGGAGAGAATTGATTGAGGAAGTGCTACAAGGGAGAGATTTAATCTTGCTGGCCAGTACTTTTGCCCCAGTTGAATTCAGGTGGGGTGTCCTACTGCTGCTTTGAAAAAAACAAGTGAGGAGATCTGTCCACAGATCCTCCCCAGCGGCTATGGTATGGCCTGAAAACATAAACAGCCAGCCAGTATCCTACATCCTGTAATCGAACATCGTACTTAATTCGACTGTATGGGGTTTACATTGCTTAAAATGCTATGCAAGCTTGTAATATTTATTTAAGTAATGTAAGAGAAAGCTGTTCAGGACTTAACAGGTTTTTGGGGGGGCTGGAATCAAGATGATCTAAATTGACTGCTAACGGGAAGAATTTAGGGTTTTGCAGTGATGTCAGCATGTTAAAAATTGTATGAGTGCAAGTTTTCCTTTTCTCTGAAGTTTTTCCCAAATGTTTTTCTGTGTGTCACTGGGCTAAATGTTAGTACAGTCCTCCTCGAATGAGTTTGAAGCCTGCAAGCTTTACACAGACCTCAGATTTCTTGATCCGATCGACTCAATGGGATAAAAGTAGATTTGCAATAAAACTCTTTATATATACTAGACATACTCTGATGGAGAAAAACCTGGCAAAAAATAAATAAATGTTTTCTTTTAGATCTTGAGGTGGGTGGAAATGTCAGGAGCTTATTTCAGAGTACAAGATGCCCCTTAAAAGGCATGCTCCATTAAAAAAAGGCCTTGTAGTAAAATACCATAGTTCCGTTGAGCATCTGGTACACACAGTGCTCCTCTAATGTTGCTTATGTTTGGAATACTAGCCAATCAAGTCACATTTAAGCACTTTACCACAAGACATCCTCTCAGCGCCAAAGTCAACATGCATCACCAAGAGTTAATGTCGGCTATCAAAAATGAATGGAATAATAGCCATATTTTTATTGTATTTATATCCCGCCGATTTAGTCAATTGACCACTCTGGGCGGCTAACAACACATAAAATAAAACAATTTAAAATATAGCAACAATATACAGCATCGGAAATCAATTTTTCAAGATGGAAAAGAAAAAAAAAGAAAAAATTGATCAAATAGTGGCTGGAGGGGAGGCCTGCTTAAACAGCCAGGTTTTTAATATGCCCAGAAATGTTTCCTTTGAATGTAGACATGATGATCTGTTTTAGATTGGATGCATATATGGCAGGACCCTCTAGGTGTAAGATGTCCTGTTGTACAGCCACCAGTTAGGATTCAATGTATTATGACTCTTCTGCCAATATGGATGATTCCTACCCCAACCCTGCCTTTGAGAGGGGAACGGCAGACAATGTATGGGGTATTTCTTTGTGAGTGATGCCCAAATCTCAGTTAGGTTTTTCATTTCATTCTCTTGAATGGGAAATACAAAACCACTCCTTTTTTGTAGCTCAAGAAATTAAGGTGCAGAACAATTCTTTGCCAGCATTGCTCAGAGAGGAATGATTATTTTCAGAATAGCTAGAAGTCATATGCAAAACATCTTATCACTCTTGGGCATGCATAAGTCCCAGAGCAAAACAGTCTACATAGCCTATGTCAAGGCTTGTCTCCAATGACACAGCCATTTGCATTTTCCTAACCCTCTACTGGTATCTATTGCTAATTGAATGTTTCCTTAACAGCTAGTTACCTACATGTGCAGACAACTGTACAACCATTCAAGTGGACTATTTTTTAAATCCAGATCTGTTCAGTAGTCACATGGCAAATTGACAAAAATGTAGTCATCTAAGTGTAGGTTTGATTATTGTCATTAGGCAATGAATCAAATATATAGCAAGACTGCTCGACTATTCATTACCTTATTGTCATCTTGAGCATTGCTTAAGGAACACACATGCACAAGCACACACGCATGGACGAACGAACGCACGTGCGCGTACACACACACACACACACACACACACACACACACACACACACACACACACCCCTTACACACACACACACACACACACATACACACACACACCTGTTTACTTTCTTTGCCAAACACAAGTGCTCTGTGATTTTGAGACTCTGCTCATAATCAGAATGTCACAGTTAGGTTTTGTGTCCAAAAGGCACAGTTTCTTACAGGATCAGTTCCCTGTCTATTCACTCACAGCATCAGGGTTTCCTCCTTATGAAACACCAAACACACTCAGAGAAAGAGAAGATGGAGTAAACTTTAGCCATCTTGTACACACAAATATATCCTTATGGCACCAGAAGATCCCACAGACTGCCTTTTTAACATAACAGTTTGCGTCGTGGGTCATGAAAATGAGTAAGTTTGTATGTTTAGATATGAATAAAATGTTTTTTTAAAGGAAAAAAAGATGAAAATGGGTAACAATTGCTTTCTTGATGCACAAAGTCACAATAACCTGGGACAAAATGGTGCAAGCCTTAGTGACTCTAATCCCAAATTCCTGGGTTCTGGATTCATAGATTCTTATCAAGCAGCTAGTTTTCAGTGGCATTATGTCAGATGCAAGTTATGTCAAACAGCAGCAACAGGTCAAATTTATACTGCAGTATGATAAGCTGATACTGTAAGCTGATCCATATATGACAAATTGAACCCCCACTTCCAATTTAAGAGGGATGCCTATTGGTGTTGTGGCTGAGTTCAAACCAGAAGTGTCTGTTCTTAGTAAAGAAGTTTGTTTACTTTTTTGTCGTACAGTAGCGAGCGGGGGTGGGGTGGGGGGGAGAATCAGCGTAGCTGCCTGAAGCAGGGTGGTTGTTTCATTCAGCTTAAAGACTGTTACAAAAAAAGTAGGGGAGAGAACACTATGGAAGTAGGAAATCTCTCCTTTAACTTTTGCATGTGTTTGTGCATTCCGTTTCTTTAAGATATCTAGAGAAAATCCGGTGAGTTATCCCAATTGTCTTTGCTTTTCTGAATAAATTCTGCATACATGGAGAAGCATATGTGCTCCTTTGGAAAAAAAACATTTACAGAAACTAATGCATGTTACAAAGTGGTGTGTAGGTTGGTATTATACATGCACAGATGTATATGCCAACTTGTGAATTGTATGATAATATCTGCTGTGTTTTGCTCACTTGCCCGGAAACATGAGTACATACAGAATTTAAGAAAGGAAGAGCAATGTTGGATTTGCAAAGATATGCAAGTACTTTGTCCTGGAAAGGGTTGACTATAGACTTTGTAACTACCATTTTCCTGTTTGTTATACCTATTAGGTGCTATCTCCTTATGTGGCCCAATCTATCTTTAATTACACATGACCAGCTTGGTTATTTTGTGCATCACAATGACCATCTCATTGAGAATCATGTAGGGATGACAAAACATTTGACTTTACATTTTCCTCTACCCAGTTAATTCACACCTCCAGCTGCCAGTTCTTCCTCCCAGCCTGTCCATCCTCAAAAGAAGTTGGGAAAAACTGAATACCTGGCAGTATCCTGCAGCATCCTGACTGCACTGGGCTTGTCTGTCAAGCCAACACAGTGGACACTGGGTTTATAGTGCCTGTATAAATGGACAGTTACGAAGAGCTGGCAGTGAATTCCTTCAAAGCCTGTGCAAAATGACTGCAGTGTCACAGCTAAGGATGTCAAGAGGAACAAATGTAAAAATGATAGAATAACTCAAGAAGAAAGAATGGAGATGATAGGTAGGAACATCTCAGCCTACCTTGTTTCTTAACGGCACTCAAGCCATGCTGAAATGAATTTCGAGGAAAGGTTGCACTGGATAGTGAGGAAGGTGAATTGATCATCAAAGGCTATGTACAACATTACACAATAAATCTAAATATCATTTAGCAGAGGAAGGCATGGCAGGAAGAAAAATATGAACCAGAAAATAATC